TGGAGGGCTTGAATGTGAAGATTGTAGAGCCCTGAGTGGTGACAGTGGGAAAGGGTCTCTAGGGTAGTGTAGGCAGGTTACCCTGTGGCTATAACCCTGGAGGGTGTGTGTGGGGGAGGGTGCTGTGGTGATGGTAGCATCTGTAGCCTCATAGGGGTCCTCCCAACAGAAATTAAATCCACTAACCCAGTAGGATGCAAAATGTGGACCAATCTAATGGGTGTCATCAGGGCAAGCAACTGAGCAAACTCTTTAAAGAGGGGCCCCATAAGGTTATGAGACTCGGACATGTATCTTGGTCTTCTAAGTGGAGAGCAGCCTGGCAGTCACAGTACCATCTCACACTTGAGCAGCAAGCATTGTAGTAAGCAAGACATTGTGTTCTTCATTTTTGACTGGTTATGTTTTATGGTTTCTCTGTCCTTTTATTTATGTTACTCTCTCTTTGTTGAGGTTCTCACTTAGCTTATCCATTCTTCCCCTAAGTGTTTTGAGCATCCTTATAACAGTTTTTTTTTTTAACTCTGTATCTAGTAGATTGTCTGCCTCCATTTCATTTAGTTTTTTTATAGCTTTCTCCTTTTATTTGAGGCATGTTATTTTGTCTCCCCATTTTGGCTGCTTCTCTGTATTTGTTTTTGTGTGTTAGGTAGATCCACTTTGTCTCCCACTCTTGGTATGGTGGCCCTATGTAATAGGTGTCCTCTGGGTTCATTGCTGCAGAATCTCTGATCACCTGAGCTAGGTGCTCCAAGAATGTTTCTTTTGTGGATTATGTGAGCCCTCTTGTAGCTGAGTCTTGGTTGTTGTTGGCCCATCCATAGGTAGAAGATCCTCTGATTGGCTGCCTTGTGAGGTTTGACACCCCTCACCCATCCCCAATCACAGTGTGCAAGTGGCTGTGCAGAGGCTGACCCAATGAGGCAGAATTTACCCCTGCAGGGTTTGGTTCCTGCTGAGATCTCCCTTTGGGTATACCACTTGTGGAGCTAATTTGGTCATTCCCTGATCTGGCCTGTAGCCTGCCACCAGGGTGCGTTGGGTTTTCAGGCCTTATGGGAGGGAGTCCAGTGCAGGTCGATATCAGAAGAGGCCTGTGATCAGCACTGGATTACCTGTTTGGAGCTACAAAGCCATCCACAGTCTTTGGCTGCCTCTGCTGGGCCTGGATGTGCATGGGAGATGCCGAGCTGCATACCAAGGCACCGAAAGAGCCTCTGGCAGTGTGCAAGTTCCATGAGGTAGGTTCCCAGAGAGTCACCAGGCCAGTCAGTGTACATCAAGGCCAGCTGTCACCTACAGATCTTTTTGGTGGGATGGGGCCTCAGGCATTCGTCAGCATGAGACCAGCTGAGTTTATTAGGGTAAAACAGGACAAGGATTTGGTTACATATAGCAAGGACTCATGGACAAAACCAAAGGGGAAGAGCTGAGGGAGGGAAGGTGGGAGGGGGCAAGGGAAAGAGGTGGGGGGAAGGCAGAGACAAATGTATTTAAAAAGTAAATAAATTAATTTAAAAAAAAAAAAAAGAAGGAGGTTTCTGCATAGAGCAGTGGTGCCAGTTGGTTGTCAAGGGGAAAAAGGCCCTCACCCTAGAACCATGCAACTCAGGGCTCTCCCTGTGCATCTCTGCCCTCCCCTGAATCTGCCCAGACCTCCTGGAGAGCCTTCCAAGAAAGACTGCATTGTGGGCCCAGTCTGATTGCCTCCAACTGACTCTTCCACAGGGCAGGGCAGGCAGGGCCACAGGGAATTGGGATGGTAGGTCTAGTTCTCGAGCCAGGAAAGATGGCTTCTGTGGGTGCTGTAGGAGAGGGACTCAGTACAGGAACCTTGGCAGCTGTTTATTCAGCCCTCTCTCTGAAGCCACACAACCCGGTTTCTCACTATGACTCCGGTCTGCTCTGAGCGACTTTCCCTCTGCTGACAGAGTAATCCTAGCTGATTTTCACAGCCTGATGTTGTATGGGCTCTTCCTTTGTGCTTTGATCTTCCAGGCTGAGGAGCCTGGCGCATGTTTGAGACCCCTCGCTCCTGGAAAGAGGATCTTTGAACCTGAGATTATCCCTCTGGATCCTCAGCCACCACACGGGGGTGCAGGACTAGCCATATTCTAGTCTCCCCCTTCCTACCAGTGTCAAGGTGCAGTGGCTTTTCTGTAAAAAGAAGCCTTGGCTATAAGACTTCTGTTAGTCTAGTCTTCAGCTGGTTATTCATGTTGGTTGTTTTATAATTGAGTTGTAATTCTGGTTTCATTCTGGGAGGAGGTGAGTGTAACTTCTACCTACTCTACCACAATCTTACATCTTCTTTAAAGTATTGGTTTTTTCCTGTAGTATTAAATTAATTTATTGTATTTTAAAGAAATTCAGCATTTTATTTTGGGTTTTTTTTAATTCAAGTACAGTTGTCTCTTAACATTTTATTTTGAAGTAAATGTAGATTCACAGTCAGTAGTAAGAAATAACATGAATAGGTCACTTTTACCCTTTACCCAGTTTCTACCAATGGTAATATCTTGCAAATCTGCAATAACATATTGCAACCAGAACATTGGCACTGATACAGTTAGGATGCTTAACATTTACATCAGCACAAGTGTCCTTTATGTGGCCCTCTAATAATATGTCTACTTATCTCCAGCTCCTATCCCTTTCTTAACCTGACAATCATTAGTCTCATCTCTACTTTTATAACTTTGTCATTTCAAGAATGTCATATAAATGAAATCATACATTATGTAATCTTTTGGTATTGGTATTTTTCACTGAGCATAATTCTCTGGAGAATATTTAGGTTGTTGAATGTATTGATAGTTTGTTTCTTTTTATTATTGTGTAATGTTCCACGGTATAGTCGTACCAGTTTGTTTAACTATTCACCTATTGAATGATATCTTGGTTGTTTTCTATTGGAATTTTTGCCTATTACAAATAAAGCTGCTATAAACATGTGCAGGTTTTTGGTGAACATAAGCCTTTATTTCTGTGGGGTAAATGCCCAGTAGTGCTATTGCTTGGTTGTATGGCAGTTGTAATGTTTAGTTTTTTGAAAAACTGCCATGCAGTTTTTTAGGCTGATTGTACCATTTTACATTCCCACCAGGGATGTGTAAGTGATTCCATTACTCCACAGCCTCACCTACATTTTATACTGCCACTATTTTTTATTTTAGCCATTCTGATAGATTTGTAGTGATATTTCATTATGCTTTTATTTTGCATTTTCTTTCTTTCTTTTTTAATTTATTGACCTGAGAGAGAGAGATTGTTGTTGCACTTATTTAGGTATGCATTTGGTTGATTCTTTTATGTGACCTGACTGCAGATTGAACCCACAACCTTGGTGTATCAGGACAATACTCTAACCAACTGAGCTATCCAGTAAGGCCTTCATTTTCTTAATGATTTAATCATCTTTTCATGGCGTTATTGCCCATCTCTATCCTTGTTAGTGAAGTGTACGTGGGTTTTTTGCCCATTTTTCTGATGGAATTCTCCTTGGGTTTTGAGAGTTCTTTGTATATGTTAGATACAAGTCTTTTAATTGGATATGAGATTTGCAAATATTTTCTTCCAGTTGGTAGTTGTGTGGAGAGCCACCTCATTATTGCTGAATAAGAATGAAAGTCCAGTCTTCTGTGTGGTCTCCACTGACACCACAGGGAGGAAAGTAACTCCTAGGCTCCTTCATGGTCTGTGCTTCGCACTTAGCCTTTACTGGTATGGGTGTGGGTGGGACCACTTTTTTTTTCCTATATTGTGTGGCCAGAATAGATCAGTTTTTGTCTAAAAGTTTTCTGTTTAGCTAGACTTCACCATTACTGGCTTTTTAGCTAATGAGAGTAAGTTTTCATTAGAGCTTTTGTTTGTGCCCTTTGTTTTTGGGTTGCTGGCTTTTTCAGACCCAAATCTGGGATATATGAGGTCAAAAAGAGAGAGCCCGGAGATCTCACTGCCATGTCCTTCTTCAGGTCCCAAGGTCCCTATCCAGTCTGCCTTTTTCTTTACATCTTTCAGATTCTTCTTAAGTTTGTTTCATGTATAATGTTCAGGATTTTTAGTTGAACTTGGGAGGTGGAATAGGGAAAAGACATCTACTCCATTATGTCGGAAGTGACAGCATATTTTAAAATATTTTTATATAATATCAAATATGGCTATATCATCACATAGAATGCCAAGTTACAACTTTATAGGTAAAACACAGAAATCTCAAAGAAAACTTATATTTATGGTAGCATGGGGCACTGATCTTAAACCCCAGGAGACAGAGGTACTAGTTCTTTTCCCTATTTAAGTGGTAAAATATTAGGGCGTAGGCTAAGTTTCTGTAACAAAGAAACCCAAAAATACAATGTCTCGAATGTGGTAGAATTTTATTTTTCATTTATGTGATTTTTTTTTTTAACATGATAGTTTAGGGTAGGAACAGAAGTAAGCTCCTTGAGGCTAATCCAAGAACCCAAGCTGGGTAGGTAGCTGAGTCATCCTTTTACATGGTTTTCAAGGTGGTTCTAAACATCACCTATTTCAGTTGGCATTAGTAATGATGATAGTAGTGATGGTGGTAATAGGTGGAACGTGGAGGTCTAGAACTTAATTTTTTTAGGGAGAAGAAACAAAATTTGTGTTTAACCGCTTTTGCTCAAATCCCATTGACCTAAACCTAGTCATATGGTCATGCCAGCCTTCTAAAGAAGCTGGTGCCTGCAGTGTGGTAGCCATAGGACCAGAAAACGTTAGGGTGTAGGGATTGTGGTTAGTAAAAGAGAAGAGGTGAGAGTACTGGGGACAGCAGTAGCCTTTGCTTTTGTTACTTAAGTGAAAAATTTTGAGAAGAAATTAGCTGCATGGTCTTGGTTATCATGGTCCATTTTATTCTATAGTTAACTGTCTATTTTTGTGTTCTTAACCTGTTTTGTTGTAAAACATTAACAAAATGATTTTTGTATAACTATTGGTACTACTTCAGATAAAATCTTATTTATATTTTCTAGGGTTTACGGAGTCCACGGGGAATAGGATGCAAGCCAGAAGCTGTATGTAGTCATGTTATTATTGAGAGCCATGAAAAAGGATGTTTCAGGACTCTCACTGCTAAACAACCACAGCTGGACAGTCATCCCTGTGTCTTCAGATCAGCTGAACCTTTAGATATTATCAGAGGACAACGGAGCCCATTATCATGGAGTACCAGACACATCAATCTTTCTAAATCACTAGACCAGAGCAACCCTCACTTCAAAGTTTGGGATTCCTTGCAGTTACAAAGTCATTCCCCATTTCAAAACTTTACAGGCGATGACTTCAAAATTGGCAAGGATTTTCGAATGCCCTTCCGTGAAAAGATGGACCCTTGGCTGTCAGAATTAGTAGAACCTAATTGTGTGCCACCCGAAGAAATGGATTGTCATTCTTCATCACAAATGCTGCCCCCAGAATCCATGAAAAAGTTTACCTCCATCACTTTTTCATCTCACCGACATTCTAAATGCTTTTCAGATTCCTCTGTTCTTAAGGTTGGTGTTACTGAAGATAGCCAGTGTACTGGAGCATCTGTAGGGGTATTTAATTCTCATTTTACTGAAGAGCAAAGTCCTCCTAGAGATCAAAAACAGAAAACTTCTTCCCCATCATTGTTTAAAATCATTAGTCATTCACCAGATAAAGCTGTGACTATTTTAGCAGAAAGTAATAGGCAAGGCCAGAAATTATCTGTTGAACATTCTTACCAAGAAGAGAAACTTTTATTAGAAAGATCAGACTTTAAAGGCAGTAATTCTGAGCCCAGTACCAGTACAGATCGTAATAAATTCAAAGAAGTTAATTTTTCTGATAACCATACCCTCATTAGCATGGGCAGACCAAGTTCTACACTAGGAGTAAAAGAGAAGAATGTAACTTTAACTCCAAATCCTCCTTTGCACATGCTTTTTGAACAAGAGCCCTTCGAACAAAGCAAAGCCCCACATGCAGATCACTATGTTACAAAACACCATTCTCCTCCTCTTCAACATCAGCATTATGTAGTTCCAAACCTTCCTTGTCACATTTTCCTTGAAAAACGAGGACACTTGGAACAAAGCAAAACCCCACATGTAGATCATCAGATGAGAGAAAACCCCTCTCCCTTTCCTCAAGGTCAGAATTATATAGCTTCAGACCTACCTTCTTCCATTTTTCTTGAACAACGTCAGCTCTTTGAACAGAGCACAGCTCCAGATATAGATCACCACATTAAAAAACAATATTCCTCTCTTCCTCAAGGCCAGGATTTTGTAGTAGAGAACAGTGATCAACATAAGCCTAAGTCACACATTTCTAACATAAATGTTGAAACTAAGGTCAATAATGTGGTTTCCCAATCAGCCCCAAATCTGCATACATTAGTAACATCTCCATCTACTCCACCTTCAAATAGAAAAGCACTTTCTTGTGTCCGTATAACCATTTCTCCCAAGACTCCTTCCAAGTTGGATAGTGGAAGCTTAGATAAGAGATTTCTTTCATTGGATTCTGCTTCTAAAACAAGGATGAATAGTGAGTTTAACTCTGACCTACAAACTGTATCTTCAAGATCATTGGAACCAACCTCCAAATTACTGACCAGTAAACCTGTAGCACATGATCAAGAATCTTTAGGTTTTCTAGGACCTAAATCTTCACCGGACTTTCAAGTCAAACAGTCTCTTCCAAATAGTAATACTGTTACTAAGGACTTGAAAACCATACCTTCTCAGAATAGCCAGATAGTAACATCAAGGCAAACACAAGTGAACTTTTCAGATTTGGACTCCAATCCAGAAGGGACTCCAATATCTGCAGATCGGTGAGTCTCATTGTGATGACAAGCAAGCTGATGGAATTTGTCATAAAGGGTTTTAAATACTTAAGCAAATGTAAGTTTCTGGGGGAAAAGCAATATGATTCTCTTAGGGGAGATTGTATCTGACAAATCTGCCAGAAGTCTTTTCAAGGGATAAATACCAAAGGAAGAATACCTGAAAGTAATATGCTTATACTTTCAAAGGGCTTTTGACAAGACTTGGCTTCAAGTATTTAAAACATTGAATTACTTTGAGAAAAACCTTTGATCATTCAGTGGTACAAGTTACCAGTTCCTTATATATTTTGTCGGAGACATGTTGAATACCAGGCTTTGGGAGATGTATGCACATGTCTGCTTTCCTGCATATTCTCTGTTTCCTTCTCCCTCTCTCTTCGTTTCCATTTCACATTTCCCTGAAGTACTTAGTAGTAACAATGTCGAAAGGTAACTTTCTAATGGAGAATTCTGGCAGACGTCACTTTAGCCAAGTAATCAAGGTTAACATTACCAGTAATAAATAATGTGCTCCCTCTTGTAATGCCCTACTTCACAGTGTATTGTAGTAAAGGAAACCCAGTTCAGGGAAAAATGCATTAGATTTATAGTATTTAGCCTAATTTTAAGATTCATTAATTCAGTTTTACATTAGTCTCTTACAGGACACTCATAACTTCCTGTTATGGCTAACTACCCTATGCATTTAATGTTTCCATCTTATAGTTGGAAAGCCAGCATGTCATAGTGGAGAGCACTGGCCTTGGAAAGGAGAAAGGGGGAAAAAAATTTTTTCAACATCCACATGTGTTAGTCTTGGCAGTGAGGGACTTACACATGTTATATCATGTTTAGTACTGATGATAACCCTATAGGGTAGATGGTGGTATCCGTATTTACCCTCTGGGAAACTGAGACATAGAAATTGCTACTTTGTCAGCAAACAGCATTGTCTCAGATAATGCCGTTTGTAAGCAGCAGATGGCGTGTTCAGATGTAGTATGTTTAATCAAAGCAAGAGTTTGTTCACCACATGATACTGTCTCTCCAGATCTTAAACCCTACTTCCAGCCCTTCTACCAACTATGTTCTTGGACAAGTCATTTAATATCTTTGGCACTCATATGTGTTTGACGGTGGAAGGGGAAGAATTTGTAACCAGAAAGTCCCTTCACCTCTAAAAGTTAATGATCGAGAATTGAATTGGGACAAAACAAACAGGACAAATCTGTAGTTTCAATATTGTAAATAGTAAGGTGCTGTAGAAACCAGTACTGATACTTTTTTTGAAAATTGTTTAGAAATTAAAATATTGACAAGTTTATATACAATACTTAAATTCATCAAAGTGATAAAATGCTTACTTATTGGAGCTGAGTTCCTTTAATGAGAAGAAAATTAGAGTAATTATAAATATGAACTATTATTAATGCCCTTTGTTCAGCATGTACTAAATCCCAGGCATTGTAGTGGCTGCCTATGTCATTTTTGTTTTACTCAGTATAATCAGAGATAGATAGTATTATGTCAATTTATAGATTTAAAAAGCCTAATACTTAAAGAAATTAACTGTTTTACCCAACATCGCATGGCCATTAAGAGTTGGAGGTGGTATTAGAACCGAAGCGTGTCTGACTCCGGAGTCCATAAATAATTCAAACTATATACAGTCATATACCACATATGTTTAGGTAGGTCAGAGATGGATGGCATATTTGACAGTGGTCCCATAAGATTATGATGGAGCTGAAAAATTCTTACTGCCTAATGACACATGTGACTCCAAAGGATTTGCCAAAGATGAGGAGGTTGCAAAAATCAACAGTGTTATAGTTGAGATGACAAACCGTACCCAAACTGGGTGTGGGTGAGGATGACATTGAGGCATTCATAGAGGTAGTTCCTGAAAAATTGACTAATTCTTCAGGAATTAGTGGAGTTGTTAGAACTGGAAAAGGAATACATAGCTGAAGAAGAGGCAAGAGAAAATAAAACTGCAGGAAAGGAATCTCTAGAAAATTTACAGTGAAGGATTTAGAAGCTTTTGCAGATCTCAACAAGCTCCTTAAAAATTTTTGAAAACATAGACCTCAACACTGAAAGGTTTTCTTTCGTGGAGAGGAATATTCATGGTGCATTATCTGCTTATAAGCAAATCTATGATGGGGGAAAAAAAAAACAACGAAGCAAACCACTGTGGACATGTTTCTAAGAAGAGTGCCACCTCCTCAGAAGAGTCTCAGGCAGGTCCTTCAGGAGGTAATCCAAAAAGCATTATCATCGTAGGAGATGCCTGTTACTGCCCCCGAAGACCTGCCAGTGGAACCCAATATAGAATTGAAAGACAGTTACACTGATTGTTCTGACCCTGTGTAGGCCTAGGCAGATGTGTATGTTTGTGTTTTAGTTTTTAACAAAATTTTAAAATAAAAAATAATTTAAAATATATAAATAGAAAAAGTTATAGAATAAAGGATATGAAGAAAAATACTTTTGTACTGCTATACAGTGTTTGTGTTTTTTAAGCTATGCTATTACAAAAGAGCCAAAATTTTAAAACTTAAAAAGTTAAGTGTTACAGTAAGCCAAGGTTAATTTATTACTGAACAAAGAAAAGTTTTAAAAATAAGTTTAGTGTAGTTTAGGTATACAGTGTGTGTAAAGTGTACAGCAGTGTACAGTAATATTCTGGGGCATTCATGGTAATTGCTCTCTACAGGCATACCATTTTAAATCTTTTATACCATATTTCTACTGTACCTTTTCTATCTGTAGATATGTTTAGACACAGAAATACTTAGCATTGTGCTACAGTTGCCCACAGTATAATACGGTAACAGACTGTGTAGACTTATAGGCCAGGAAGAATAGGCTATACCATATAGCGTAAGTGTGTAGTAGGCTATACCGCCTAGGTTTGTGTAAGTGCACTCCAATAGTCACACAACAAAATAGTGTAAGGATGCATTTTGTATAATGTACCCCTATTACTATGCAAGGTATATTTTGTGTGTTTGTATACATAAAACGTGCAAGTATTAAATATTTTAAACTTTTTTGAGATAATTTTCAACTTAAAGAGAAGTTACGAAAAATAGATGAGTTCCTGTTCTATCTATTTAAATGTAATATATTACCCTGAAATATAGCAGCTTAGGACAACAAGTATTATCCCAAAGTTTCTGTGGATCTGAAATCCAGGCATGGCTTAGCTGGGTGCTTCTGGCTCACAGTGTCTTCCAAGGTTGCAAACAAGGTTTTGGCTGCAGCTGTGATCATCTCCCAAGGCTTGACTGAGAGGATATGCTTCCAACCTTGCTTATGTGACTGTTGGCAAGATACATCAGTTCCTTCTATAAGGCAGCTCCAACACAAAAGCTAAGTTTCCCTCAAATGAGCAAAGCAAGTTAAGAGTGTAAGAGAGGGTGCTGAGGCAAAAGCCACAGTCTTTTTATAACCTAATCTCGGAAGTGAATTGCACCACTTCTGCCACATTCTGTTTGACAGAAATTAACCACTATTTCCAGCCCCGAAGGGTTAGGGATTACACAAGGGTCTGAATACCAGAAGGCAGTGACCATTGGGGGGTATCTTAGGGTGCCAGTATTCCCTTTACAAAATTTCTGCTTATGTTAACATCTTACAATAGCATAACCATAAAACATTTACCAAAACTAAGAAATTATCCTTCATATAAAATTATAGCTAAAGTATAGATTGATTTGGATTTTACCTGGTTTGTCCACAAATGAACCTTCTCTGTTTCAGATACAATCTAAGAACCCACCTTGCATTTTAGCTGGCATATCTTCTTAGTCTCCTCCAATCTGTGGCAGTTTCTCAGTCTTTCCTTGTTTTTCATGACCTTGCCACTTTGAATAGAATTGATCAGTTACTTTGGAGCAAGTTTTTTGATTTGGTTGTTTGATGTCTCAAGATTTGGTTGAGGTTAGGCTTTTTTTTTTTTTTTATTGAACTTGGAGAGAGTAAGAAAGACAAACATCCGATTTATTGTTCCAGACTGAGTTACCCATCCAGGGCCAGGGTTAGACATTTTAATGCATCTTATCAGGGAGCACATTATATTGATATGCATTATAGGCGATGTTAACTATGATCTTTGGCTAAAGTGGTGTCTACTAGAATTCTCCACTGTTCTGCTTATTTATAAATTCCCACAAGACATTATTACTGTTGCTTGTTTATTTCATTATATATGTGACCATAACTATATGTATATATAAAAAGGTTTGTATGTATGTGTGCATATGTATACTATACATTATTAAGTGCTCTTTATTATTCTCTGCAGTTATTTACTTTGTTGGATCATTTTACTTCAGCCTAAAAAATTTTCTTTTGGTATATCCTGAGGTCTGCTGGGGATTAGTTCACTTTTATTTATTTGTATTTTATTTTAAAAAATAGATTGTAATTTTCTGTTGAGATTCTTTGTGTTTTATTATCCTCCATCTGCTCTCTTAATAATAATCATTTTAAAGTCTTTCTATGCTAACTTCAGTATCTTAATCCCCTGTAAATCAATTTCTGTCCTTTCCTCTCAATTTTTACTTTTTTCTGCTTCACAAATTTTATAATTTTTGCTTGTATGCTGGACATTGCGAATAAAAAAATTATAGAGACTGAAAATGCTGTTACTTTGCAGCAGAAAGGATTTGCTCTTTTCTCTGTTAACCAGATAGAGTGCCTGATCAAAATTTCAGGAATTGTACTAGGTCAGAGCTGGGTTGGAGCTTTAGTTATACCTATGACTGTTAATGATTGGTTTGGATTTTTGCTTTCAGCTGGCAAGGTTTTTATTCTTCAGTAATTAAATATAGTGAGATACTCAGTTCAGTCTCTTTCAGATGTTTGAATTCAGCTCTTTGGACCTGCAGCTCTCCCAGCTTTAGAATATAAGGGGAAACCAGTTATGTACTTTTGTGGTTATATTTTGTCAATGGAAATTTGTCTCATAAGCACTCAAAAGATTACATTTCACTGTTTTCTCAGCCCCCTTCTTGGGGGCGGCACTTCGGGAGGGGAGTGGTTATTGCAAGTCTGGTAGGTCTCTAATTTTTCACCTTGAACGTTCTCACCATCAGGCATTATGTTATTTAGCTTCCTGCCGTATGCAGGTTCAAAGTCTGGCAAATGTGAGGAGACCTGATATTTATCATAAGCCCCACTACCTAATAAGAATTGGATTGTTATTGGTGCCATGATTATGCAGGAGATTTCACTCAGTTCCCCATCTTCCCATACCACCCTAATACTGACGAAATGTCCTGTGGGGGAAATCAGCTTGGCATTCTGCTAGATTTCACTCTATCATGCTGATCATGGGTTCAGCAAAAACTCTCATGGTTTCTCCTTTTCCCATGGAGTGTGTCTACCTATACTAAGCCTGTGCCCATAATTTCTAAGATGCCCTTCTAGCATATTGACATTGTTTTCCAGTTTGCTCCCATAGCTCTCTGAATTTTTTAGTATGATTTTTATAATTTATTCAACTTGGTTTGCTTATTACAGGAGGATTGATGGCCTATGGCTTTAGATTATCTTTAATTTCTATCATATATTAATGGTATTTTACTTCGAGTGTTTATATCTTCTAATTATTATTAGGTATTTTATGTTTTTGATAATATTGTATATGGTGTATTTTTTAGCTTTCAATTTTATAACTTCTGATACTGAAAAATGTGTAGTTTTTAAAATGGAATTTTCTATTGGGCAGTTTTTCTAAAAACATATCCTAATAAGTTATCTATAGATTCTTTTGGACTTTCTATCAAAATTATATCAAATATAAAAAGGACAGTGTTATTTCTTCCTTATCATTCTTTTTCCTATTTTAACTGCTGATACCATTTTAGACATTTAGTAAAATGTTGAGTAGAAATGGTAAAAGTTGGCATCTTTACTTTGTTGCTAATCTCACAATGCATGTTCTCTACATTTCAAAATAATTAGGATAGTTGCTCTCAAGTTTTTTTTAAGTTTCTTTATTTTTTAAATATATATTTCATTGATTATGCTATTAACAGTTGTCCCATATTTTTTTTTCTTTCCCTTCATTCTCTGCCACTCTATACACCTCCACCCCTGAGCATTCCCCCGCACCCCCCACTTAGTTCATGTCCATAGGTTGTACATGTAAGTTCTTTGGCTTCTCCCATTTCCTATACTATTCTTAACCTTCCCCTGCCTATTTTGTACCTGCTATTTATGCTGCTTATTCCCTGTACCTTTTCCCCATTCTTCTCCCTCCCCTCTGTTGTTTATTTATTTTTAGAGAGAGGGGAAGGGGGGGAGAAAGACAGGGAAAGAAACATCCATGTGAGAGAGGAACATTGATCAGTCAGATACCTTTCCCTGCATGCACTGACCTGGAACCAAACCCACAACCCAGGTATGTGTACTGATTGGGAATTGAACTGGTGACGTTTTACTTTGTGGGACGACACCCAGTCTGCTGAGCCACACCAACCAGGACCGGTTTCTCCCTTACTATGTTCTGTTCTTTGGAATCCAGCAACTAAGTTCAGTCCATAATCAAGGAAGGAGAGATGAAGCTTCACCTCCTTGGGCTAGGATGGGGGACGGTATTCTACATATATTATTTGGAATTTTTCTGTAAGCAAGAATTGTCTTTTCTCTCCTGTTATTTATTTATTCAATCATTTATTTGCTCCATTCTGTTTTAATATGAATTCTCTATAATCTTAATACATAAATACAACTTTGAAAACTTCTGTTCCCCCATTGACATATAAATTCCTTGAGGGAAGACTTTTTTTTTTGTTTATCTTCATGTATTCTATACATTTAACACAGCCCACTAATTTATACTGGACCTCTAGTAATTTTTATAAAAATGAATGAACGAATGAATGTATTTCCACTTGAACTGAAAAGTATTCTTTCCTTACCTAAATTACACAGTAGCATTCTAGATTAAAATTAAAAGTAGATTTTAAAACAAAAGTAAACTCATACATGATTGTATTGTAATAAGTATCTATGAAAATAAGTCACTGCAGAAATAACGATTTAAGGGTGATATGTCTGCACAAAACATTCCTTGAAAATATTTGTGTTCCTTGAAGCCACTTTTGGAAAGATACTATGGTGTTTTATAAGCCAAGGATATGACATGCTGTTCCTTTCTCTTACTTGTTCAGGTCACTGGAGGAGATTAAACCCCCATTTTCTTCCTTCCCTGGAAAATTTTCATCTGATGCAGTCACTCAGATTACAACAGAAAGTCCAGGAAAAACTATGTTTTCATCTGAGATTTTTATTAATAGTGAAGATCATGGAAGTGAAATTTCAGAGCCCAGTTCCCAGAAACTGGGCAAAGATCCTGTCAAGTTTGCTTTATCATCTTCAGTCCAACAGAATACTATTCCTCATGGCACAAGTGGAGGTAAGAGAATGGGATTGCATTTTAGATCACAGTACCAACTTTTATGTGTAATTATCTTAGAAATTTTAGATTGTGGCTTTATAGTTAGAAAACCTAATTTTAGTTGTAAGCATTAAGAGCCACATGATTATACCCATCTTTTAATTGCATAGCATGAAGATAATATGATTTATTATATTTTTACCTTAATTTCTAGTGGAGTTAACATATGTGGAACTCATGATGCCTGTATTTGACATATTTTTTATCTCATGATACTTGTAATAAGAATGCAGATATTGCATAAAAACTTAAAAACTACAGGGACCCTGCCCCGACTGGGTGGGTTTAGTTGGTTGGAACATTGTCCCATATACCAAAGGGTTGCAGATTTGACCCCCAGTCAGGGCACACACCTAGGATGCAGATTTGATCCCTGGTCAGGGCACGTAGGGCAAGCAACTAATCATTGTTTCTCTCTCAAATCAGTGTTTCTCTTTCCCTCCATCCATCCCTCTCTGCCTCCTTCTCTCTCTTGCACGCGCACGCGCTCTCTCTCTCTCTCTCTCTCTCAAATCAATAAGAACATCCTTGGGCGAAGATTTAAAAAAAAGAAAAGAAAACACTGCCCTGGCTGGTGTGGCTCAGTGGCTTGAGTACCGGACTACAAACCAAAGGGTCGCAGGTTCAATTCCCAGTTAGGGCACATGCCTGGGTTGCAGGCCAGATCCCAAATGGGGGGTGCACAAGAGGCAACCACACATTGATCTTTCTCTCTCTCTTTCTCCCTCCCTTCACCTATTTCTAAAAATAAATAAATAAAACCTTTAAAAACACAAAAAAACTGTAGTGGTTCGATTTTAAGAAGGTAGGTGAATTATTGGCATTTTGTCTTATAGTAAATGACTATAATAAATAGATACAAATATATGTAATAGTGCAAAAACAATGATCAGATACCCAGGTTGACTGTGGCCCTGCTGTCTTTGAAACATGGAATTGATGATTACTTTGAATTCACTATCACAGTCAACTAGAAGGGACAAAAACTATGGAAGAGCATGTGTAGGAAGTTTATGGGATAGGCCTGAAAGTGGCTCAGATTACTTTCCACAGTGTAGGAAGAGTTTAGCTGTGTTTTCCGTGGTGAAGAGATGGATTTTGGTGAGCAGCTAGTCATTTCTAACATGAAGTCTACAATTAGAGTGCTATGCTATTATTGTGACAGCAATATTTCGATAGTACTTACACTATATATCAAAAATTAGAGTAAGTTGTTTTCTCTTTCAGACCAGAAGCAGGAAAATTAACAGTTAAGTTCCCATTCTCCCCCCAAGTGAGAATGGAAACTATAGATTACTAATTTTAAACTTTTTAATAGTTTGCACAAATCTATTTAAATCCATTTAAAATTTTCCTACTTCTGCAAAAAGTTTATCGATCTGTGGATACAGATAAGCTGTGCCTAAATGTATAAAGAAGATTGCTTGGTTCAGCATTTAAATTGCGTTGAATTTAATTTAAGTAAGTATATTTATATGTTACTACTTGTGCATCTTTATTGTGAAATAAAACTGCCAAACTACACACTTTAATAAATATCACAAAGAACACTTATATGCGTCAGTTAGCCACAGTGATACCATATAACAATCTAAAAAATCTCAGTCCTTTATAACAACAAACATTTGCTTTTCTCACTCACTGGCTTGTGTGTCAATTGGAATTTGGCTCCAGGCAGGAGCATGGTTCTGTTCCACTTGATTGTTCTGAAACACAAGCTAATGAGGTAGTTGCTTCCCTGGGGTATGTACATTGTTCTCCTGGTGCGGTTAGAAGCAGAAGGGGGAAACCCAACTGTGAAAGTGTATTTTAAACCTTTACTCACATCAAAATGGATTAATCTATATAGAGGCCCCAATTTATGGTTTTACTTTTATGTACAGATACCTGGGAGAAGGACCTCTTTATATTAATATTATTTGGTTTACTAATAAAATATTTTTAATACCTTGGATTAAAAGTAAAATTTTGATTTTTTTTTTGGTTTGGTGTGGAACCATTTTAAAGTACAAAGAATGATATTTTAAACACATGACTGTCTGCCCTCTAATCAGAATTAACAAATTCAGAATAATTTACTATATGTTTATATTTGGTTTTATTTTTAAGTATTTCTTAAGAAATTTATAGTTGAACTTTCTGTAACCCTTTTCAATTCTTTCTTTCCCAAAAGCAATCATTATTTGCTTTGTAGTCACTTCTTCCCTCCCAAAGACAGACAGTCTAAACTATCCCTAAGATTACTGCATCCAAACAGAAACTTGATAAGAATTTTAAAAAGCCACTTATCTTTCTCAGAATTCTCTATCTCCATACCATAACCATTCTTGCCCTGGGTCCATTTTAATTCTGCCCAATTGTTGTTGCTCATTTTCTGCAACCTTTGAAATAAATGGTAAATTTAACCATCACTATCAAGCTTTATGTACACTGGTAAAAGAAAACTAATAAAACAATATTCTAATAATAATGATTGCAGCAGTGACCAAATAAAAGTGTAGGCTACAGCTAATGTTTATGTTGTTTAAATTCTTCCCTCCTCTACAGACTTTTTTGTTCCCCTTAAATTCCGTCAAGTTCTCATTGGCTAGGTTTCTGAGGGACTTTTTTGAATGCGTGCATGCGTGTGTGTGTGGGGGTGTGTGTGTGCTGTAGGTTTTAGTTTTGTTTTGTTTTGGGGGGTTTTGTTTTGTTGTTTTTATTTGTTTTGGCCTGGTGGAGTAATATAAATATTCCTAAATAGCCTGAGACTTGGCTAGCCCTGCATCCTGCCCCAGTTACCTTGGTACTCCTAATTGCCCTCACCGTTTTCTAAGTCATTTTCTTTAAATCACTTATAATTTATTAAAATACTAGATAATTTACCTATTTAGTGTATTGTTTACTGTATATTATCCTCCTCTTAAGGCAGAGGTACTTTTCTGTGTAGTTCCCTGATCCCAAAAAATCTGGCACACTGAAGGCACTCAGTGTTTGTTCTTTGAGATATTAATAAATGTTTTCTTTGTTATTGTTCTGATCTTTATCTCCTTAGCCCAACCGTCGCTATTGCCATATAAACCTTCTGGCAGTACGAAGATGTACTATGTTCCACAATTAAGTCAAATTCCTTCATCTTTGGATTCCAAATCAGACACCACCATTGAGAGCTCACACTCAGGTATTATACAGAATTATTTAAAATTTTATATTTTGACATTTTGTTTGTGGATTGGCTAGTTAATTCTGGAATGACATATGAAAGTTCATGCTATTTAATTTTTCAGTGAAATACAGAGCTTTTCATGCCTTAATCTGTGGTTCAGATAGGTGAGTTATTTGGTCAGATATATTATGTACACTTAAACAAATATTAAATATTTGACAAAGAAAATTGTATGGACAGTTTTTTGTTTGGGTTAGTGGACTCTGTCTAGGTCAAAATTTTCAAAGTTTTCTCTGTTCATGGAGTGCTTAGTATTTCACTGATTATTTTTCCTCATTATGTGGAACACATTTAATTACAAGTGTTTTTTCAATTAGCTAGTACATTATTAGTACACAAATACTTGTTTTGATCTAACAACATAATAAAAATATTATGTGTTTCTTTTTGGTTTTGCTTTTTTAAAGAAAATACTTTACTCTGTTCATAAATAGCCAGTTATTTACTAATGAAATATGTGAAGCAGCTAAGGCACAGTATGCCTTCTCAAACCTTGATATAAAATTGGACACAATCACCATATTTCTTGCTTTATTACAGAAACTGTCAAAAATCAGTTTTGTAAAGATACAATAGTATTAAGAGGAATGTAGCACTATCTAATGTTAAAACTTTACCTTAAGCTAGTAGTTTGTGTAGTATACACCAAATAACAGATATCGTTGTTTCCCTAGAATTTTAAAATATTCCATAAGCACCCCTGTTAGATTACCCCAGAGCAACTGCAAATTTAGAAAATGAAGTATAACCCCTGGAGTTCTCAGTAAATATTTCCTATGGGGATTTTAATATAAGGATACTGAATTAATGTGGTGTGGAGTTTTGATTAATGGAATACTATTTTGAGTGGTCCACAAGAGATGACTTGGTTCAGTTTATATAGAAATTATTTTCTACATGATTTGTCAATAGGCATATTTATATGTACAGAAATTACACAGAAAGAAGTTGTGCTGGTCTTAGGCAGATTTTTTCTTTGTGGGGTAGGTAATTTTGAGAGGACAAAACTAGTATCTGATGATCATTGAGTTAAAGCCCCTGGTATAACTGTTCCTAATTCCCCACAATCGTGCCACTGGAAAAAAGAACCATAAAAGTGCTCATATTACCAAATGTTAGGATTGATTATTAAGTCTTTAACCAGAAGCTGGAAGAAATTTTTATTACTTGCAAGGCAATGATTTTAAAAACACACTTAATGAACTAAAACAAGCCCAGCCCACTCAATTGAGGGTAAGTAGGAAAATCTTTGGTTTTTCTACCTCTTTCAGCCCCCTGTTTCAGAAGACAGATGTCTTTATCAACAGACATCTGATCAGGTGTCCCAATATTTTTTGAGGCCTGTAGTGTCCTGCTGTCCATTCACATCCATAACTATTTCATCTATTTGGAGGCATTAACTTTAAACAAAATTTGACAGTGGTGGGAAGAGAAATTGACTCGGGTGAGGTGGTGCATTTTTTCCTAAAAAAATTTTTCTTGTAAATAAAGTACTAAATGCCTCAATAAGATAAGAGGTCTCATAACTATACATACTTGAGATTGTAGTTTTTCATGTTCGCCATCTATTCTGAGAAAACAGTCCTTAGACCAGTAAAGTTACTCTAGATGAAAGCCTCAGAATTGTTCTAATAGCCATTGTCTATTAATATATTGTAAATCCACAGATATGAGAAGGATCCAGTTAGAGTTTGGGGCCAAGGGCAAGTCATACATTATTGTTAGCAAATATTTGGGCCAAATAGATTTCTCCATAATTGAGAATGGGTAAGCAATTGAACTCATAAAATCAAGGACCTTTAAAAAAAAACACAGGCAAGGCAAAGGTAACAACATCCCAAAAAAAGAGATAGATGTTAGAAATGTAGTTGTTACAGTAGCAAATTCTCTCTCCCCCAAGATGTAGGCATAGGTTAACGTGGCTCACCTCCTCTCACAGCCACAGCAAAAATTACATCTAGACTGCAAAACAAATACCACCCAGAAACATCAGAAGATCAAGCTTTATGGAAGTCAGACAACCAAGAAATTAGTCACATTCATCCAGACAGGTAGGAGGGGAAGAGAGGCACGGAGTCCCAGAGATGTGGAACAGGTGGTCCCACGCCCACATGTGGTCGATAAAAATCAGGAGGGATACCTGAGGAGCAAGGGATCCCAGCCCCACACCAAACCACCAAACCTAGGGTTCCACTGCCAGGAAGATGAGCCCCCATAACTTCTATTAAAAAACCAGTGGGCCTGGGGTGGTGGAATAAACTGTAGAATTTTCAGGAGTCTTAAAAGGCCCTCAAAAGACGTACACAGATTCACTGCCTTTGGGCATCAGCACCGGGGCAGCAGTTGGAAGTACACCAGCGGCATACGGGGAGAAATTGAATTGTCTGGCATCAGGGTGAGTTCTGGGGGACAGCTTCTTCCTAGACGAAACTCCAGAGGCCAGGCAGTAGCATTGTGCCCTTTCTGAGTTCTCCCCCACACAGAGCCACAGAGTGGAAACACCATATCTGAGACTCCATCAGCGTGGTTCACATAGCTTGCCCTGACCTGATGATTGCCTAAGGCTTCATCAGTTTACCAGTTTACCAGTGTGCTCTTCTATAATAGGCCACACTACTAAGACAGGGAGTCAAAGCAGCTCTACCTAATGCAAACACAGGGAGACTGCCAAAATGAGGAGACAAAGAAATATGGCCCAAATGAAAGAGCAGAACAAAACTCCAGAAAAAGAACTAAACAACATGGAGAGAAGCAATCCATCCAGATACAGAGTTCAGAACACTGGTTACTAGAATACTCAAGGAACTCATTGTGTACCTCAGCAGCATAAAAAAGACCCAGGCAGAAATGAAGGTTACACTAAGTGAAATAAAGAAAAGTTTACAGGGAACCAACGGTGGAGCAAATTAAGCTAAGATAGCAAGAAGAAAAATGAATCCAAAAAAACGAGGGTAGGCTAAGGAGCTTCTGGGACAACTTCAAATGTACCAACATTTGGATCATAGAGGTGCCAGAAGAAGAAGAGAAAGAGAAACAAATTGAAAACTTGAAAAAATAATGAAAGAAAACTTAACCTAATCTGGTGAAGGAAATAGACATAGAAGTCCAGGAAGCACAGAGGGTCCCAAACATGTTCGACTCAAAGAGGACCACACCAAGACACATCATAATAAAAATGCCAAAGGTAAAAGATAGAGAAACTTAAAAGCAGCGAGAGAAAAGCAGTGAGTTACCTACAAAGGAGTTCCCATAAGACTGTCAGCTGATTTCTCAAAAGAAACTTTGCAGGCTAGAAGGGAATTGGCAAGAAGTATTCAAAGTGATGAAGAGCAAGGACCTACAACCTAGATTACTCTTTACAGCAAAGCTATCATTTAGAATGGAAGGACAGTTAAAGTGCTTCCCAGACAAGGTAAAGCTAAAGGAGTTCATCATCATCAAACCATTACATGAAATGTTACAGGGACTTACTTAAGAAAAAAGATCAAAACTATGAACATTAAAATGGTAATAAATTCACAGCTATCAACAATTGAATCTAAAAAACAAGCTGAACAAACAAGTAGAACAAATAGAATCACAGAGATGGAAATCATTTGGAGAGTTATCAGTTAGGAGGGGGAAGGAGGAGAATGGGAGAGAAGTTGCAGGGATTAAGAAGTGCAAATTGGTAGGTACAGAATAGACAGGGGAATGTTAAGAACAGTAGGGCACTGGCTGGTGTGGTTCAGTGGGTTGAGTGCAGCCCTGTAAACGAAAGGGTCACCAGTTTGATTCCCAATCAGGACACGTGCCTGGGTTGTAGGCGAGGTCCCTGGTGGGCAGCACGTGAGAGACAGCCACACGTGGATATTTCTATCCTTCTCTTTCTCCTTCCAGTCCCTTCTCTCCACATAAATAAAAATCACTTTAAAAAAAGAATAGTGTAGAAAATGGAGTAGACAAAGAACTTACATGCATGAGCCATGGATGTGAACTAAGGGGATTTCTGGAGGGAATGGGGGTATCAGGTCGAGGAGGCCAAAGCGGGGGAAAACTTAGACAACTGTAATAGCATAATCAAAATATATTTTAAAAAAGAAATTTACTTACTAGACTCAGTAACATTCATAAAAAGACTTTATAACAAAAACTATTACTAAAGACAAGGTCATTTTTTAGTGATTAAGGAGTCAATCCATCATCAAGAAGTTTAACAGTTTTAAATGTATATGCATCTATCCACAGAGTCCTAAATATGAAAAGAAAAACAATTAAAAAGAAAAAAGAGAAATTATTCAAGGCAAAAGCAAAAAGTCATGTGCTCATATTTTATAATTCCCTCATGAAAAGTGCAGAATAAGCAAATCCGTATAGACAGAAAGTAGATTACTGGTTGCCAGGAATTGTGGATGAAGGGGAAATGGAAAACATCTGCTAATGTGCACAGGGTTCTTCTTTGGGGTGACAAAAGAAGTTCCATAATTACATAGCAGTGTTGGTTGGGATTATACTAAAAACTATTGTACCCTTATTTAAGTGTTTATGTGAATTATATCTCAATTTAAAAAAAGGAACAGGAATGAACAAATGAAGGAAAGACTGTCAGAACATTTAAAGATTTGGTAGCCGATTTAAAATACATTTGCATCCCTGGCCAGGTGGTGCAGTTGGTTGGAACATCATCCCTTACACCCAAAAGGTTGCATGTTAGATCCATCCCTTTGTTGGGGTGCATGAGGGAGGCAGTCAATTGATCTCTCTCTCTCTCTCTCTCTCTCTCTCTCTCTTCCTCTCTCTAAAATCAATGAACATATTCTCAGGTGAGGATTAAAAAATAGGTATATTTAGAATATATTTTTCAGACAATAAAGAGTAAAAATAACATGAAGGAAATTGAATTGGTGAGGAGGATAAAGTTGAAAATTTCTCCAAATATACAAAGGAAAAATTTTTTAAAAATGAAAATGAGAAAA